CTGCGCGCTACTTCGTTCACTCTAATACTGGTCGCGAGCTGAACAGCAAGAGTACGCTAAACATCTACAGTGCCTGCTGTGTGTCACCTCACGCTACTTTGTCACGTTTTTCTTTGAGACAGTCATTTAGTCAATGACAAGCATAGTGGTTGGTTAACTAGTTATAAGAAAAGCTAGTGTCCTGGAGTGAAGGAAACGTTACCTCTGATCGTACATCGCTGGACACATCTCCTCTGACTGAAAAAAACGAGCCGGAATGAAGCAGAAAAGTGCCGAGGCAGGTACGCAACTTTTTTTTTGCACGGGTGAGGGCGCTGTGTGTGCCGAAAGGCACAAGTCACCTTAAATGAATTCGAGAAAACAGATGAGATGATACGAGCCGTAAAAGCCGAGACGACCCAAACCAGAACACCAAAGCCAAAACAAACACACCACAAACCAACCCCCCAGAAAGGAAACCCGAACCAACACTGGCTCATATCTTCTCGTGAAGTGAGGATGTGAAGATCCGGAGATCAACCACAGGTGTGAAACGGGGCGATGAATTCAAAGCTTTGGCTGCTCTCAGTACAGGAGGACCATCACGTAGCAGACATCCTGTTTATGAGGCAACGGGTTTCGCAACGATCACTGTGCGGCAGCTTGGTCGTCGATAAACAAGCCTGGATGCAGGTGTGAGGTACTTTCCAAGCCAGCTCTGGAGCCAGGCAAGTCGAAACTTTTGTCCAAGAGTACGACATCGCCTATGTCAGCCTTTGTTTGTTCCTGATTGGCCCGCTCTATCGAAAGATCCTCAATCTGCTGCACAAAATTCCAGCTTGCTATTGCCATATCTGGAGTTTTAGCATGACGAAGGGTTTGCGTCAGGTCGAGAGGATTGAGGTAGGCAAATGACCTCCGACTTTGGGGTCACCTCTAATCCAGACTTTGAAGGAAATCGAATTGATAGGTTGACCAAGCACTGTAGTCTCAGCCCCAATCCCAGATTGAGAGGGACAAGGCTCTGCGAGATCGTTGGACGAGCATGCAGACATGCATGCAGAATTGAAAAATAATGAGGGATGGCAAAAGACCTGCAGTGGGCAAGCAGTGGCTTGGAGTAGACTTGGAGGTGCAGCAGCGAAGATACCCACCCCCCCCCGAAGGGGGAGGGAGTGAGAGCGTGCACGAAGACCGCAGTTCCAAAAAGACAGGCGGGAACTGCTGTTGCATTTCGGCGCGGCACGGCTCTGTTAATCAGCAGATACTCAAGCGCACTACCCTCGAAGAGTGGTGCAAGCGTGGCTCAGCAGGCAAGCCGCTGCAGGTTCTGCGTCTTCTCTTGGCTCCTGAAGGTACCAAGTACCAGGTAAGCATGCAAGCCCCATAAACTACGTGAAACAGTGAAACACCGCTATTCCTAGGCCTAGAGAACTGTACACTGTACCACACCCTGACCACCTCTTGGGAGGCAGCCATGGGAACTGGCTATCTACTCAGTTGCGAAAGCAAAGTCGGCAGTTGAGATGTCAGACATAAGGCTCCCTACTGATCTGCTAGCAAGCACTGGGCCGATTGGCCAAACTACTCTGGGAATCTCTGATCTGCGGCAGCACTGAAATTGGCCTCTGCACAACTTCTCATGAAGTCCTCCCACTCTTCTTTGCCATCATTGGGCTTGGGGAGAAGCCGAATCCATGTCGGGAGTGTCAGTTTTGCACACATTTCGAAAGCATTGTGTTCTGCATAGGTGCCTCTCCAGGTTCCTTTCTTGCCCATCCTAACGAGCTTGCAGAGTTGCGCACAGCCTGCAAAGGCTCGTTTGCTAAGGTATAGCAAGGTAGGTGGGGTATGTATTTCCACCAAGGAAGTGCACCGTGAGAAGACG